GCCATTATTGCTAAAGGAGGCAGAGGAATAACTGAACATGCGACACTCTGAGCAAGAGAAAGGAGGAGAGGAACAGGGGGAAGCCATTGCTCTCCTCTATCCACTCACCCCAACCGGTCGAGGCAGAAGGCCGCCCACCAAGAGCCGGGGTCTGTCGGAGGATTCTTCCATTAAAGGGAGTTTTTCCTCCCCACTGTCGCCAAGTGCTTGCTCAAAGGGGATTTGTTGGGTTTTCCCTATGTAATAATATTGATAACAGTAAGGTCTAGACCTTACTTTGTAAAGTGTCCTGAGATGACTTTTGTGGTGATTTGGTGCTATACAAATAAAATTTGATTTGATTTGATATGGTTTCCAGTAAGTCAGTATTGGGTTATTCCTGGGATGTTGGCTAAGTGACAGCTGGAAGCTGTGAGTCCCAGCCGCAGAAGCTGGCTAAGTCCCTTCTCCCCTCAGCGGCTAATGAATGTTCCTACACACTGTAGCTGCGGGTGAACATACACACCTAGCGTGACAGAAGGCAGAAGAGAAGTCTGAGGTTTTCAAGAGCAAGAAGGGATGCACGAACACACGGTATATATAAACTGCACATATGAGAATGATGTCACACAAAGCCAGAGGGTCTCCTACCATATGTAAGCACAGCTGGACACAAAGGTTCTCTTGTTTGTTTCCAAGGCTCAGTGTGGATTGGCACCTCAGTCCACTTCTGAACTTCCCTGCCCTTATTCCAGCTCCAGGCCTCTTCAATCCCCACATCACTGTTTCACAATTGAGACATTTGGGTGAGGTAAATGGTGCCTTTTCAGCAGCTGCACCAAAGCTCTGGAATAGTCTCCCACTGTCAGTTTAGTATTCGTTGACACTTTAAAGGTAACACTCAAGATGTACTGTTTTTCAAGGACCTTTGGGGGGTGTTCTTGTCTTTTTACTTATTTTTGTGTTTTATTTATTTGTTTCAGGTGTCCTTTAATGCTTTTTGGAGTCATTATGTTATACTGCTGTTTATACTGCCCCTGTGCTCTTACTCTTGTCTTGCCTTATTTTCACTATTATGTCTTTTGTTGGATTTTGTAAGAGAACTTAGTGAACTCCAGTTTATTTTCTATGCATCCTGTTCTTTTTGTTGATTCTGTTGATATTATACAAAAAATGTTATTTGCCATTTAATCTACTAACTAAAAGAGGGGTGTTTAGTGTAAGTTTCCTGATGCTGATGAAGTTTTTTTTTTCCATCAGTGAGTTTTCCAAACGCAACACAAAACAAGCTTGTATTTTTCTGTTAGGATCAGCTGAAATGATGAATCTACACACTGGACCTCTCCGTTATGTATGTGTCGATACCTATAATGTATATGGATTAAACAATTATGGATTGAAGCCTCTTAGAGATGCAGAAGATCACGAAACAAGCTGAGGTTTTAATCACTTCAGTTTAACGACAGCAAGTCTGCAGGCCTGACTCTAATCAGAATCTAATCTGATAGCATCGCCTCTCTTTCTCTCTATACGATTATCTGCATTCATCTCTTTTATGAGTAATGTCAAGATATTTTAGTCTCTTTGTGATTGAACATTAACAAACAAAACAAATTATATATTCATACAACAAAGTGCTGCTGAAATGAAGCTGCGCAGTCGTAAAAGGATTGAGCTATACTGCGATTTAATATCACGTGTTGGTATCAAAAAGACTTTCATTTGCATTAAAAACAAGATTATAAATGTTGTAAGAAGATGTGAAGGTTTAGCCTGTAATTTCACAATAAAGCCACTTTTGTGCTGTCAGTTAGAGACCGTGTCCCACCTCCATCACTCACCCTCTGTCTGTCTCTGTGCAGAAGCTGTCTGTCGTCACGGGACCCCTACTGCATCTGGCTCAAGTCGGGCAGCTGTGCCACAGTCTCACCTGGTTTCAAGTAAGTTACACACACTGACCCAGTCGGGAATAACACCCAGTATATACTGTACATATAGGGCAGAGCTGATGGATGTCACCACAGCTACTATTACAGCCATCCATGTAGAATGAATGTTGACTTTATATTTTGCAGGAGCTGCTTCACTGCTGGCTTGTGTTTGTATATGGTTCCTTTTAGGCTCTAGTTGCACTCATTCATCCTAATATCTTGCACTGAAGTGTTGAAATATTAGAAGTTATTGTCCTTTTTTGTGTTGACTCAAGCATGTAGTGTTATGAGAACATCTTAAAATGAATTGCAGCTCATACAGAGTATAATCTCAATTACAAACTGTGTTGTAAATTTTAAAAGAACCGTGCTGGTGTCTGCAGCTTATGTCTACACTGCCGCTGGTTTCAGCACAGTTATGGTTTATGTTTGTGTATATACTGGGGACAGTAACTGTGTTTTATAGCCACTGTTTCTCCTACTCGTCTTTAAAAATAAAAGTTCTCTGTGGAGCAGCTAGAACAACACACTGACAACAAAGCAGCATCTGTTTAGTGGATTTTAGGGCTGAGTGAAAGGTGGAAAGGCCCTAGAATAGTAGTTGACAGCTGAGTGTCAGAATTCCCACTTTATAGGGTCACTACCACACAAAGCTTTTTCATTATTCATGGTCATTGTTGTGTCTCTAGTGAGGGAATTAAAGATAAATTAACTTCTATGTGCAGACCTCTGTCTAATATGGACAACTCTCAGGTGCAGAGGACTTAAACTTATAAACAAAGAGGTTTAGACATCAGTTTTTGTACACAGTTAAGTGTTTTTTTTCCTACATGTGGATTTAATAAAGAGTTGGTACAAGCCAATGCAGAATGTGACACAGTGGAACAAGCAGAATTTCCTATTTTAAAGCTGCTTAAGCTTGATTTATGCTTCAGATTTTAGCCTATGCCGTAGCCTGATGTGTACCTCTCCAGAAATGTGACTACACATCATGGCGACGCAGACAACAACAACTGCGATTGGTTGCATCGCATTTCCTCGTTCATGTCTCTCAGTGGCTGGACCAGCACAGAAAGTCCCCCTCGTTCTGCCTCAGTTGGTTCAATGGTGGTGCAGACCACCTCCTCCGGCATCCTCTCTTATCTGTGTTGCAGTAAGTTCAGTAATAGTTACTGCTGTTCAGCATCTGTTAGTTTTACCTCCAACATGACTTGCTCAGTTTCAGTTGTCATTGTTTATAAGTGGCAAAGAAATGCAGCACAGTGGCAGAGACACAGCACCTCCACCTTGGAGGAGTAATTGCAGGGCAGTGCAGACACACCAGTGCACTAGTATAAAGGCTCAACATAAGCTTTACATAGATTCAGTGCAGAACTTTAAATCAAGCTTTAATCTGAAATATGTAAGAGGGGAAACTATGTTAAGTGATCATAATCTGGCAGCGACTCAGTCTTGATGAAGTTTAGTCACTTTACACTGAGCCTCAGTGGTAAGGAAACCTTTTTTTAGTGATGATGTTCTTCTGGTCTCAGATTTCCTTTGACAGCTTGTGGGAAAACCCCTGCTGTGTTGTCACAGTTGGGCTGCGATCAGAAGTAAAATATAGTTCAAACTTTCAGCCCATTAATGACACAGCAACAATTTCCAGCCCATTGTGGTTCATTGTTGGTTCTTCCTTTAACAGAGAGATCTCACTGATGAACCAGCAAGGGACAAAAAATGTGCAGGTTTGCTTTCTAAACAAACACCCCGGCAGGAGGCTTCATCTGCTAACGCTTCCCTGGATGAAGCAGTACTAATTAGTGAGATTAGCCTCAGTGGTGATTGGTCAGTCTGAAAGCTCATGGGTGGACACAGCTAAATAAAAACATTATTAGTTCTGTAACTCAGTGTCACAGAGGACGCGTGTAACCGAGCAGGAGCAGTAAATTTCATATTTCCTTTTACTCTACGAGTCAGTTGTTCAGTGCAGATCAGCTGGGCCTGCATGAGCAGCTGGGGCGACGCACTCTGGATAATCAGTAGCTAATGTACAATTAGACAAATGGGCAACATAAACGTGATGAATATGTGACCAGGCAATTTTCACTAAAAGGCTTTGCTGAACCCATTTGAGACCCAACAATATGTATCCATCTTGTTTATTCACGAGTGACTGGCTCCATATTATTGGCAGGATGTCAGAGGGCAACTGCGGAAAGGTCGGGAGGAGGAGGCGATCAGTCAGAACAATGAAAGACATTTGATTATCTGTTCCTGTGAATTAGAAGGGAGTCGTCTGACACTGAAGGTACTGACCGTATGGTAATATGTGCAAGGGTCGAGTATTGTACATGTGTGTGCTTGTTTGAGTACAGTTATCAGGACCAGTTAGAAGTTTAGACATTTTGGGCCATTCTGGCCATTTTTCATGCCTTTTGTAAGCAGTGGTGTTAAAGAATAAGGATTTTGCTGTTTAATGTGCTGCAGCTGACTAGCTCCTTAGCTACTGTCTCTAGCCTGGTAACTGACACTATCAGTGCACTTTTTCCCTGCCGAGTGTTTTGCTTGGTCACTCATTCAGCCGAGCCGAGATGCAGGACATGTCCATGTTTGCAGATAAGAAGACGACATTATCTAAAAAGCTCTAGTGGGATGCAATTCAAACTCTGAGGTTATTTTTGTTTAACAGCTGTTAGTGTCACTGCCAGCCAATGGACAGACTTTTTAAAAATTTATTTATGTATATATATAAAGAGAAAATTAAGTAAAAGTAAAGTATTAAGTAAAATTAAAAGTAATATTACATAGAAATGAAGTTCAAGAACAAATATGAACATCTGATCATAAGTTTTTAAGATATTATATAATTTCAAGTGCAAGCGACAGGCCAGTCATTGCCCACTCTTTCTACAGTTTGACTTTTCTTTCCCATCTGTCTGTCACTCCCTCACTCACTCACTCACTCAGTCACTCCCTCACTCCCTTCTAGCCTATGTCATAAAATCAAAAGTGATGTTGAGCTGCGTGTGTTTCAATCACCGCACTGTCTGGAAAATCGGAAAAGAAAGATGGATGGGCGGTTGGATGGACAGGTGGATGGATGAATATCTGGACAGATAGGTGGGTGCAGTAGAGGAGGAGGAGGAGGAGGAGGAGTAGTAGAGGTATTTAAAGATGCTGTTTTCCCCTCCCATGTGCCTGCTGACAGTGAAGGACTTTGTGTGTCCCTGTGTGGTTGATATACAACCTGCTGCTAAATCACCACGCCAGGTGGGTTTTTTCCTCACCTCTATGTACATTGGTTGTAAATTGTGAGTGCGCACCATGTGTGTGAACTTCTTCGTTCCCTCCCTCTCCCACACACACACACACAGCACCACTTCCACTGTCGGCTGACTTCTCATAGATTATTTTGACGGCTGTAAATGTGCAGACCCGGAATCATTGCATATCCTCTGCTTGGCCACCCAATCGTATTACTTTCCCTGCCCTCACACGGACAGAGGCTAATGGGATTTTTTTTCCTTCTAGATGCATGTTTTTCTGTGTCTTCTCATATTTGTATATTTGACAGTGTAATGTTTGGGTTCTTGTTCATAAATCATTACAGCTTTTATTTTCAACCATTATAGAAAGAGGACCATTTTGTGGTGTTTTGACTTTAAAGGAATAGTTCTTTATTTTGGGAAAAGCTCTTTCTTTCCAGTTTCTCAGCCTGGCGCTGTACCTTCCGTGAGTCTGGTCTTTCCAGACAACCAGCTGTTTCCAACAGCTGAAAAAGTATTGTGATTTTAAGGAGTAAGTTTTAGGATTTGCATTAACTTTTGTGTTAAGGATGCAGCGAGTATTAGAGTTAGTATGTGGTCTGAGGTTAGGAGTTGGTAGCTTTTGCTGACAGCACATCTCAATGTATTTGTGATGGAGAGAGGAAGTACTAATGTGGCTTCATGCTGGCGAGTTGCACCGAGCTGTGGGCCGAGGTTTGATTTATGAGTTTAGCATGCAGGAGGGGAAGCTGCACTGGAAACCAATGGACCAGAACCTGAGAGATCGGCCAAAATGTCCTGTCCGGAGAGAGAAACGCGGACAAAGGAACAAAGAAAACGAGAGGATTAAAGAAAAGAGGAGAAATTGAAAGAAAAAATATGGAAACTGTGAGAGAGGAGTAAGAAATACTGTGATGTAAAGAGAGATGGAATATAGGAGAGATAGTAAAGGAAAGACGAAAAACGGGGACAGGAAAAACAGTCAGGGAACAGGGGGAGAGTGAATTTTATCAGCCTGATTCTAAAGTGCAGAACATCTGGTTTTCATTTTTTCATTTAGTTTTTTCTATTCAAGAACTCAAACAGTCTGCTCAGACTTTATGTGTGGCTCCAAAGGAACATCAGACTTAAAACCTACATTAAATGAGCCATTTAATATATGTATGTATCATTAAAAGGAGGTGAGGAACATCTGGTGAAAGAGGAGAAAGGGAAGCTGGTGATAAAGGGATGGCGATTGGATGAGAGAAGGATGAACCACTGTGAATCACGCACCACAGAAAGCGCCTGAGCAGAGTCTGAGATAAAGCAGCTCAGAAGCCATCCACCTTCTGGGACCTCATCCGCCCCCCGTCTCTCTCTCTCTCTTCTCGCTCACATCATTCTTTTCATTGACTATCAGCCTCTTTTCCTGCAGTCCTTTCTCATCCAGAGGTGGCATAAATTTTAATGACTGATTGTGGCTGATCCAGAGGATAGGAGAGGAAAGAGGATTCACTGCCCTCTTTCTCCTTCGGCCCCTCGTCTGTGACTTTGTCTGTCTCTGGCTGTTTTAGTCGGTGTGTTTTCCATAATACATTTGACATAATCACTCCTGCCAAAGCACATCGCCAAAAAAAAAAAAGACGGCCAAGGACGGAAATTGGATGAAGATACTGGAAGGAAAAAGCAGGTCAGCTGTGAAGTGCACGTTGAAACACTTTTGAGGATAAGGCTGGTGATACTCTATACATTTTGTAGTGTTAACAATGCTGTCAAAAA